CTCACAACCCACTGATTTGCTGGGTAAACACACTTCTTCAATGGAGTGCATTGGCATTTGCACCAAGTGTGCAAATCAACCAGTAACCAACGCTAACTACACAAACACCAGTATGCCTTCTCCTCCCTCCTCCCCCTTTCTCCTTCTCCCTCCCCATGTCCCTCACCACGTCCTCTCCATGTCCCTCACCTCCACCTCCACCTCCACCACCTCTGCCTTCGCCTTCGCCTTCGCCTCCACCTCCGTTTCACCGCACAGGCAATGCGTAGTCAGACTGACATATCGCCGACAACACTTGCAACAGCACCATCAACGAGGGAGGGATTTGTGTATTTGACAGGTTTGATTGACGCGAGGAATCAGGACCAACACTTGCTGCCCTTCCGTTTTGCCCACGCGGAAGACCAACTCTCTGTCTTTGTCGCTTTACCCTAACGTAATTTAGCCTAACTTGACCTGGTGCAACCCAACCTAACGGTTACCTGCCTTTTCGGTACCCACTGAATTGGATATAAGTAGTGGGGGTTGCGGTAGTGGTGCAATGAGTAGCTGAGATGTAGACCTCAGCGATTTATGGAATCAACAGACGCATCCTAAATGCAGGGCAGCAGCTTCTTCTCATTCCATGAAATTCCAACCCATCCAAGATCATTCGGTGGATTTCTGCAATCCTAGCTCGTAAGAATCGACTAATTCCTAAATTAGCATGTAACTGATCTAAATCTTACCTTAAAATTGTGGAATTTAGGCACATACAAAGTGGCAGGAGATCGTCTTACCCTTCAACGAGTGGAAAATTCACAAATTTGGATTTGTGTGACTAAAATCAACACAGGACCACATCCAACCTAGCCTCTTCCCAATTTTAGCCACTACAAAAAATTGGGGACGAAGCCGTGTGTGTGTGTGTGCATATGTGCCTTTGTGTTTACCATTTGTGAGTCACCTCATTGGACCTGCCTGGCTGCGATACAGCGACGTCGGCCTTCTCTCGCCTCCGCTGCCGCCGCTGATTCATCGTTTACATTCCGGGTGCGTGTGTTTGTGTGTGTTTCTCAATTGTACACAAAACTGGGAAGGCCGGATTGTGCGCCTGCGCCTGCCCCTGTGCCTCCATTATGTGGGTGTGTGTGTGCGTGTGTGATTTACAGACCTCTACGACTATGTTTGCATGTGTGTACGCATGTCCTCTATTCAGGCAGGAACACCGCACCGGTGTGATTGATTCCCAACAAACGCAACCGTGGTAGCGCGGTGGTGGTGGTGGTAGTGGCGATGTTGATAATCAAAAAGTACCGGGAATGAGGTGCCATAACTAAACGGCAAATGGCCTGTCAGACATTTCGCACGCTCTTAACCATAAGCTTTTAATTACCGGTGTCTCAGCGTATCGTACATTCACCTGCACGGTCACCTTATCTTGGCAACGTGGAGGAGATTTTACGCCCATGGTACGCTAACTCGTCTGTAGCTTGTTTTTCACACTGGCATGCCCCATCACGCCCTCATGGATGACTCGGAGGACTATGAGTGAGTCCATTCAAGATGACCAACAAGTGAACTCGTTGACGGAATACCAACCTCAAGAGCTGTAGAACGTTTACTCCACGGCAACGAATCGTCCCATCACCTGAACTGGTTCTTCTACATCACACTGGCACAAGCAGTCCATCACAATCATTACCTCCGATCTCGACAAAGCGGCACCAGACTTCCATTGTCGACCCCAACAATATACGACTACGGTATTCCAGAAAATGACAGTCTTGCCAACACTGAGCTACACTTCAGATCCGAGGGCAACAGGGTGAACCCAGGGGGACAAGAAAGATGAGTGGCCACCCCAGTGGTATACATGGGTGACTAATGGACGATTTATTCACTAACTGCTTGTAACAGAAAAACTGAACAACCGAACCATCGGCCAACCTGCTGTCTGCTCATGAATAGCAACACTACTCAAGACAATCGACACCACTTACTACCAACACCATCACCAATACCACCACTACTAATTGCATTCAGTACCCTCCCATTAGTAGTACCTGCATGACCTCGGTCAATATCGATGGTTCAGATCTCGCGGAGGGAGAGGGAGGATCTGTTACATCATCATCACATCCGAGTTATTCACACTTACCCTTGACCCCATTCCATAATAATCGACAATGCAGCAGCTCTACACACCGCATCAACTTTGGGGTCAAAGTCATTACTGGAGTCATCTCAGCCAGCAAACCATCCTATCACCATCGACCGCGAATGTCTCACCTTCCCCCACGCTGATCCCTAATGGCCAAACTCCAAGCAATCAAATGTAGCCACATCTATCAGTGAGCGTAGGGCACATCCACTGCTTCCACCAACAGCCGTGCCTCCTCCTCCACACTCGACGGGTCTTCTAATCCCCAGCCTCCATCATCCTCATCAGAAATCATTAAACTACATTCTAGTTTGGAATAGTGCAACAGTTCAGCCACCTCTCATCAGATGGCGCTTTCCACAATCAGTAGCTGATTCCACGCTTTATTTGTTCTGTGGAGGCTGCGTGTTTACTTTGCACAGGCGGTATTTTTAGCACAAAGAAAAAGCACACCGACATACGCAGAGAATACGCCTGCGGGTGCCTGTGTGGGTGTTTCCATGTTTGGATAGAGTTGTGTAAACACCTCCGATGGATGAGAGAGGGATCGATGCCAACACACACACACACACAAGAGAGAGTATTAGCCAAGTTGTCTCGAGAACGGGTGTTGCTGTGCCACTGCCTTGGCAATCACATTGTCCCACCTCTCCTCCCCTCCTCCCTCCAGTGGCCGTCTAGGTCTGTACAATCGAGGAGATCCACACCACCTCCCTCCTACATTCATCCACTTCCACCGATTTCACGTGTCACCATCCAAAGTCATGACAAATGCCACAGTTTGCCATAAAAAAACCATCTCAACGGAGGAGGTGATGTCAAAGTAAGTTTGAAACTGGACATCCAGAATCAGCCCCTTGAAGCTGTGACAGTGGAAGTGGGTGATTCATGAAGTCGAGAACTTCAACTGTCAAGCGTCATACTCTTAATCACTAAGGCTTCATTTTGACTCGATTAGTGATGAAATTTGTGTGGGCCTTTTTCATTGGTCAGTCCTGAGCCAATAAACAGACGGGGATCAATATTCTCACTAATATTATTCTTTACATATTCTAATTCGACAAAATTTGGAGAGGCGAAACTTAGAAATGACTGTTCCATTTGGCAGGGCCCCATCTACGACTCCTCTACTCCTCCATCCTAGGCGGTTTATCAAAACCACTCATCTTCGTGGCTATTCCCCGATTCCATGTCGGACTCAGCTATTCGGGAGACATCTGTCTGCATTCATCCAAGCCGCTCTTAAACTTATCAAAATTTTATTTTAAATTAAAGATTATGCGACATCTAATCGTTAGCAAAAAACATTTTAAGGGCGTGAAGTAAATGAGTGGAACTATCCAATGATGTTTGACATGACGTGATGGGATGACAGATCAAACCGGAGTGCCATAAATCAACAACTACTGACAAATCACACAAACAGTAAAGTGGAGCCACTGACTTGCTTCCTTATCTACCAAGGCGTGATGGATGGCGTCAATTGGTCGTGGTTACCAGTGTTTGTTTGTCTGTTTACCTGTTTGTCAGTTTGTGCAAACACGTGTCCTTACCACCCTACTGTTTGCCAGGCGATGGATAAACACGCACTCACACACACACACGCACATCATCTTGTGTCTTTTGAGGTTAGTCAAACAGTGGGTTGGTTAGGTCATCGGGTGGTTAGTCATTTGAATCATCTATCCTCCGCTTTCCCCTTCTTATCCCTTCTGCATCGTGAAAGTAACCCGTTCAGTGGCGTCAAATCGAAGCTAATGAGTTCCATACATCTTTGCCTAATTACCGTTTCAAATTCAGACCTCCTAGAACCCAATCAACGTCGTCATTCGCGTATGGCCGGCGCCATCCCTTTCCAACAACAATTAACACATTCTGTCACACAATAAGAAGAAGAGGGAGGGGAGGCAGCATAGCCCTCCACTGGTGTGCACAAAAAGAAAAACTCGCCCTCTTCTCTAAATTGTGGTTTGCTATTTACGCATGAACAAGAAGCTAAAAACTGACACAAGTTCTTGGCTTCATTTGGGGTAAACACCGGCCAATTCGATCAATGACCTCCAGCAGAAGAGTGCTAGGTAATCACCAGGCTGTCTTAAAATAAATTACCTAAAAACTTTCTCTTTTATTAAAAATTCCATGTTTACGCAATTACTCACCTTTAGGGTCAATCGTGCCACGAAAAAAATGGCTAAATGTCGTCTGCTCAAAACATTAAAGTGCCTATTCATTATGAGCTGATCGTCAAAACACACCCTTACAAAAGCGAAAGAAAGCAAATCAGCAAAAACAGCCAAAAAAATGTGTCAGGAACCGACAGGCTAACGCCGAACCCCTAGTTCTCCCACATTGTTGCTTTATGCTACGCAGATTGGTCGACAATCATCGGCCGATTAAAACACCCCTCGATCGATACTTTTAAAGCTCATTTTTCTTAAAATAAATAAGTATATATACGACAAACAAACACTCACGCATACAGATACGAACCTTTG